CCTGTGGCAGAATCACCTATGTGCAGTCAACAGGCGGGCATGCACTGCCCTTGGGCACCAGCCCTGCATCCAGCCAGGCTGGGACAGTCACTTCGTACGGGCCCACAAGCTCTGTAGCTCTAGGCTTCACTTCGCTGGGGCCCAGCGGCCCTGCCTTTGTGCAGCCCCTGCTGTCAGGTGAGGGTTACCCTGGCAGGCAGCACTGGGGACCCAGGGTGGGGCTGAGGGAGCCTGGGTCCTAACTCAGCCCGTTGCCTCTCCTTGTCTGTCTCCCTCTCAGCAGGCCAAGCCCCACTGCTGGCTCCTGGCCAGGTGGGCGTGTCGCCTGTGCCCAGCCCCCAGCTGCCTCCTGCCTGCACAGCCCCTGGAGGTCCCGTCATAACAGCATTTTACCCTGGCAGCCCTGCACCCACCTCCTCGGCACCCTTGGCCCAGCCATCCCAGGCCCCCCCAAGCCTGGTCTATACTGTGGCTACTAGCACTACCCCACCTGCTGCCACCATTCTGCCCAAAGGCCCACCGGCCCCTGCCACCCCAATCCCTACTAGCCCTTTTCCTAGTGCTACAGGTGGGTATAAGACCATCCCAGGGCAGGGTGAGTTGGGGGACCCAAGCGATGGGCTCCAGTCAGACTTGGCTCAGCAAATGCTCTTCTCCCCACCAGCAGGCTCCATGACCTATAGCCTAGTGGCCCCCAAGCCCCAGCGGCCCAGCCCAAAGGCCCCCCAGAAAGTGAAGGCGGCCATTGCCAGCATTCCCGTGGGCTCCTTTGAGGCAGGTGTCTCTGGGCGGCCAGGCCCCACACCCCGGCAGCCTCTGGAGCCTGGCCCAGTCCGTGAGCCAAGTGCCCCAGAGTCTGAGCTGGAGGGGCAGCCCACACCACCAGCCCCTCCACCACCCCCAGAGACCTGGACTCCCACGGCCCGGAACAGCCCCCCACTGCCCCCGCCTGCTGAGGAACGGACCAGCACCAAGGGCCCTGATACCATGGTGAGCATCTGGCAGGCTGGCTTTTGCTGGTACTCAGCTCTGCCCTTCCATCCATCGTCTGCTTTTCTGTTCTGCTCCTCTTCCCTCATGCCTGTCATTGTTGTATCCCCTCTTATCTGAGGTCTGCATCCTGGCCTTCACAAGGCTTTGTCACTAGATCTTCTCCAAGGGGCTGTGTGTCAGGCTGTCTCAGCATTCATCTGTTTCTTGCTTTTGCCCCAGTTAATCTAAGCCTAGTGTTCTCCATCTCCCTGCCCATCCCACCCCAGGCCAGCAAATTTCCCAGCTCATCTTCAGACTGGCGCGTCCCTGGGCTGAGCCTGGAGAGTCGTGGGGAGCCTCCCACCCCTCCCAGTCCGGCCCCAGCTCCAGCTGCAGCCCCTGGTAGCAGCAGTGGCAGCAGCGAGGGCAGCAGTGGGAGGGCGGCTGGGGACAATCCTGAGCGCAAGGATGTGGCTAGTACTGGCAAGAAGGTGAAGGTGCGGCCGCCGCCCCTGAAGAAGACCTTTGACTCTGTGGACAAGTGAGCATGGGCTGGGGACCTTGGCAGAGTGTGTGGGGTTGGTGGGGGGAGGGCGGCTGCAGGCCGAGGCAGGGGAGGTGACCCTGCTGGCTCTCCAGCAGGGTCCTGTCGGAGGTGGATTTTGAAGAGCGCTTTGCTGAGCTGCCTGAGTTTCGGCCTGAAGAGGTGCTGCCCTCACCTACCCTGCAGTCTCTGGCCACCTCGCCCCGGGCCATCCTGGGCTCTTACCGCAAGAAGAGGAAGAACTCTACAGGTAGGCAAGTGCTGGGCACCCAGGATAGGTGGGGGAATAGACTGGGGCCACCTCCACTAAGCCTGCTTCTATTTGACCAGACCTGGACTCCGCTCCTGAGGACCCCACCTCGCCCAAGCGCAAGATGAGGAGACGCTCCAGCTGCAGCTCGGAGCCCAACACCCCCAAGAGTGCCAAGTGCGAGGGGGACATCTTCACCTTTGACCGTACAGGTGGAGGCGCCGTGGTGGGCAGAGCTGTGGGGGTCCCAGAGCCTGCAAAAAGAGTGGTGATGACACTTGTTAAAGATGGTAATGAATCCTTTATTCAATGAGGGTTTTGCAATAGGTAGGAGAGAGAGGTACTTAGAATACAAAGACAAGTGGGGTTTTACAGCCAACAAATAGTGTGGGGATCAGTAGATGGAAAATTACTAACACAAAACATTGGGATAAGGGAGGATTCTGGCTAAATCCAGCTCGACAGATTCCTGCTGAAGGCAGGGTGCTGATAACACCAAGGCCACGGGTTCGGATCCTATATAGGGATGGCCGGTTTGCTCACTGGCTGAGCGTGGTGCTGACAACACCAAGCCAAGGGTTGAGATCCCCTTACCGGTCATCTTTTTTTAAAAAAAAGAGTGGACTCTCAGGAAGGCATTTAGAATGGGAAAGGTGGAGGACCAGCCCATGGCTCACTCAGGAGAGTGCGGTGCTGATAACACCAAGGCCATGGGTTCAGATCCTATATAGGGATGGTCGGTTAGCTCATTGGCTGAGCGTGGTGCTGACAACATCAAGCCAAAGGTTAAGATCCCCTTACCGGTCATCTTTAAAAAAAAAAGAATGGGAAAGGTGGGGTGGGTGTCAGTGAGAAGAAGAACAGCAGGTCAAGGATGAGTTCTGGAGTCCGACAGGCCCCTAAGTTGCCACATGACCTTGGGTCAGTTTTCTCTCTGGTCTCCCTGTGAAAAAGAATTCAGTAAGGGTTTGGGTGGACACTCAGACTGCGGCAAGGAGGCTCAGGTTGCTGCTGTAGACTTGATCCTGCTTCCTGTGCCCCTATGCAGGTACAGAAGCTGAGGATGTGCTTGGGGAGCTGGAGTATGAGAAGGTGCCATACTCGTCACTGCGGCGCACACTGGACCAGCGCCGGGCCCTGGTCATGCAGCTCTTCCAGGACCATGGCTTCTTCCCATCAGGTGAGCATGTCTTGGAGTCTTGGGGAGCACTTGGATGGGACTTGCCTGCTCATCTCACCCTGCCCTTCCCACAATCTTTCTGTCCCCAGCCCAGGCCACAGCAGCGTTCCAGGCCCGCTATGCAGACATCTTCCCCTCCAAGGTTTGTCTGCAGTTGAAGATCCGTGAAGTGCGCCAGAAGATCATGCAGGCAGCCACTCCCACAGAGCAGCCCCCTGGAGCTGAGGTCCCCCTCCCTGGACCACCCCCCATTGGCACAGCTGCTGCCCCTGCCCCCACTCCCAGCCCTGCTGGGGGCCCTGACCCCACCTCACCTGGCTCGGACTCTGGCACAGCCCAGGCTGCCCCGCCACTGCCTCCACCCCCAGAGCCAGGGCCTGGACAGCCTGGCTGGGAGGGGGCCCCCCAGCCCTCTCCCCCACCCCCAGGCCCCTCCACAGCTGCCACAGGCAGGTGAGAGGCCCTTAAGATCCCAGAACCCAGAGTGCCCCCCTCAGGATATGGACAGTATGTAGGTGGCAGGAAAGGGGGGGCAGGATGGTTACCTCCTCCCAAATAAAACCATTTCGTCCTTTCTAGTTTGGGATGGAATGAGGCCTGCTCCTCTTGTATATACCCCCCCTCCCCTCGGCTCCTTCCCTGAGCTGGGGGGCAGCTGAGGGGAAGCAGGGGCATAGTCTCCCTCTGAGCCCCTGTACATAACCTGGAGTATGTGACCTTCAGAGCTTTTCACTTGTACTTTATGCAAAATGGCTCCTGTGAGGGCTGCAAGCTGGAGGGTAGTGTGGGCCTTGGGCCACAGGGAGGTGCCTGTGGAGTAGGGGGGAGTTCATGTACCCCTTTTTTCCCCAGAGGGGCTGGACTCAGGTTAGTTTGGGGGTGGGTGCTCCTGCACTTTGCCACAGGCATGGGGAGGGTTATCTCCCCACCCCCTCTGCCCTCCCAACTTGGGTTGTACTTTCTAAGAAGGTGATTCCCCCTACCCTTGCCCCCTTCCCCAGAACAAAACATGTTGATCATGTGCAATATTTCTTACTGTGCCGAGAAGCCACAATGACTGAGATTAAAGCTGTTTAACACACCTGTGTGGCTGCCAGTTCTAAAGGGAGAGGGGTGTTGGTGGTACTAGTCCTGTCCCAGATGGCCATGGAGTGGTGCACTCTCCGTGGGGTGGGGGGGAGCAATTCCAGGACCACCCTCCCTCCCCAACATCAGAGGGACCCTGTGGGCCAAGCTTCTTGACTCACTGTGGACCAGGTAACCCTTCTCTAGCCTGGAAGCCCTGGTGCTAAGGGAACCATGATGCCTTCTCTGCAGTTTTGTCAGCCATCAAACATGCATGAGCTTGGGGAAGGCCTGAGATGACATGCTCCAAAAAAGGCAGTTCACTCTTACTGGCCTTGAAATCATTTTTTCTCAGGAAACAAGCTGCATGAGGTCCTAGCCCAGAGGCAGTACTAGGTGCTGAGGACAGTCCAGAGTAAGGTGCTGTCCTCAGTGGCCCCTGCTGCCCCCACATGGCCTGGGTCAGCACTGCAGTCAGGCTAGAAGGAGCCTCTCCTGGGTCAACCCCTCCCACTCAAGACTGTGGACACAGTGCCCACCTGAGGAGACAGATACGGACAGCCTGGGTGGAAGGATGACAACTAGGGGTGGGAGGGTCAGGAAGCCTCCATAGGAAGTGGCATCTAAGATAGAGCCAGAGCACCAGGGAGTTCCAGCTCAAAGAAGGGCATATATAGAGACTGGAGGGACAGCTGAGGGTGGGCTTTAACTGTTGAGTCACACTGTATTCCCAGAATTCTTGCTTGACCTTGATCCTATAAGGCAGTGCTGGCAAACTGGTTTCACCTAGTGTGTTTACTGATTGATAGCACGTGCTTGAAGCACACTATTGTGATGGTGGAAATTCTCTGCAAGAACCAGAGTGTCTTGATGGATTAGTGGTGCCTGCCTTGGTCAGAAGTAGAACTACCCTGCACAGCCACAGGGTCACAGATCAGGGTGAGGATCTGGCGGTGGTACCCAGACAGGCTTGGTCATAAAGCAGGAAATGGAAGACTAAGGAAGGAGAATTTAATGTTACAGATAGCAGGATGCCTAGGGTGCAGGCTCTGGCAGGGGGACAGCCTGGCCCTGATCTTGGGCCAACAGACGCAGAAGCAGCGAGTGCAGGGCCCGGCAGACGGGTGTGTAGCCCAGGCGGCTCAGATGCAGGTAATCATACATGTCGTGGTGACTTATGGTGCCATCTGAGTGCACGAAGCCAGGGTCAGCATCCAGGAAGTGGGCCCGTGGGTGGCCAGCCAGTGCCACCCTTACTAGCTCATTCACCCGTTGGTTCTTCTCCCGAAGTGGGTTGGGGTGCTGGCCCCTTGGAAGCAGTCCCTGAGGAGAAATACCGAGAGCCATAAAGGGACGTCCTATCAGCATCTGGGTATCCTGTTCTCTGTGCTGAACTGTCCTCTAACCCCCAACCATGAAGTTTCCAGCTGCAGAATACACTAGGGATGGGAAAGTGGGGAGGGCAAAAGGGTAATCCTTGATATGTCCCAGTCCCCATTCTGCAAGACCCTCGGGTGCTAGCCTCTTTCCAAGTATCACTCATAAAAATGTTGACATCATGGCAAGGGGTCATTCCCCTCTTTCAGAAGAGGAAATGTCTCGGCTAGAAGTGATGGAGCCTAGATTCACCCCAAGAATTCCTGACAGCTTTTGGCTATTCAAACGTTTTTTTGAGCTTTTCAGCACCCTCAGAATCTGCAGCAGTCCCTTGGGCAAAAGGGGCTAATTGGTCCCTGAACACATCCTTAACCCACAGCTGCTCTGATGGGTGTAGCAAGCTTCAAAGTGATTTTGCCTGAAATCCACTGTTCTGTGCCAAGTTGCTCAGAATTGTGCCAGCTGTAGCTACATCTGAGGAGGTCCCAGACCACTGTCATTCCTCCTTTCCCACCCTGCCAGCCTCTCACCAGCACCACGACTCGGGCCTGGGGCTGCCGCTGGTTCACCAGTTGCACAATGGCCTTGATGCCGCCAGTCACCTGCTCTGCTGTGTGCCCATGGTTGTTGGTGCCCACCCAGACCACCACAATCTGTGGAAAGAGGGGCATGGAGCAGCAATAAAGGGGGCAGGCAAAAGATGCTACAGCTGTCCACCCAAGACCCGCTCACCTTAGGCCGGATGTGTTCTAGCTCCCCATTCTCCAGCCGCCATAGTACATGCTGTGTGCTGTCCCCACCAATGCCAAAGTTAAGTGCGTGCAGAGGAGAGAAGAGCTCCCGCCAGATCTGTGAGCAAGAAGTGGTGTGGACACAGGGGCACTGTCAGCATGGACCACCACCCTCTGTCCAACACCTTCTGTCAACCAAATGCCATTATGGAAGAGACTCACTTTATGGGAGCAGTCCGGTTTAATCTTACCTTGAGTAAATCTTACTATGGTGGAACCTCACTTCATGGAAACCTGTTAGTATCCCTTTAAAACAAAGCTCACAGAAGCAAGACTCACTTTATGAACCCAGTCTGCTTGAGCCAATAGCATTATAGTTGAACTTTATTTTGAGGAAAGCCATTGCAGTTGAACCCTGCTTAATGGAAAGTTATGATTAAGCCCCCTCTGTGGAGGGCCGTTACAGTTGAACATCACCTCATTATAGCCTTGTGTAAACCCAGTTGGGCTGTGCACCACTTTAAGCAAACAATAAAGAGCCTCACCTTAGATAATCTTACTGCGGGAAAGCCTCATTTTAAGTCACTATACACAAACCCAGTCTGACAAAGTAAGGGCACACATTTGCTTCTCAGTAGAATGTTACACCTTATGCGGAGATTCTCATTATCGGTGCACGAGGCTACCTTAGGCTATTTCGGGTACCCCATATTCGGAAATGAATCCAGATTAGGGTTCTGGTCCTAATGTATCAGTGAGGGCACAGGCATGGGGAGCGGGGACCTCACCTCGCACTGGTGCATTAGCTGGACTAAGGAGTCCCCGATGAAGACGACTTCGGGTTCCTTGTCTTTGCTGTCCGCCACGAACCGATGGTGCTGAGGGATCGCACGAAGGGAAGTCAATGGCATGCACGCTCCTGGGCCCGCCTCGCCCTCCGTCCGTACGGAGCATCACCCCAACTGCCCTCACCTCCCCAATCAGGTAATGAGAGCGGCACGAACTAGCAGTTCCTTTGAGCGCTACCCCCACCCTCCGGCCCGCCCCGGACTCTCCTGAGTATCGCAGGCGGAATCGCTCACCAGGGATATCCAGCGCCCGTCGCCCTGTACGTCCTGCACCGGCGTGGGCTTGCTGGCTGGGTTCTCCTCTCCATTCATCTCGGCGCCGCAGCTCCTGCAGGACGAGCGAGTAAGGTCGGCCCGAGAGTGCTCCGGGAGGAAGCGGCAGCGCCACGCTCACTCTTGGCCCTCCAGGCAACAAAGGACCGTCCGGACGCTCGCACTCCCGCGGAGGACGAAGGCCGATCCAGGGCGCCTCCTCCTCTCCCTAGGCGGAAACCTTCACTGAGGAGGGAGGTGAAATTGGGAACACTCGCTTCCCCTACGGCGGCCGAACTGTGGGCTCGTCCTGCACTTCTCGCCCGGGCACTCACTCACCGGCAGCGGCAGCGTGAGCGGTAGCGGCAACAGCCAGCGCACCCTGGCTCTGGGGAAGGGGGGAGGCGACCACCCAACACGGGCGGGGAAGAGGGAGAAACCAACTGCTGACGTCACGGGGAGGACCGAAAAGCCAAGAGTGGGCGGGGAAAATCTAGCGCCCTTCCTTGGGGAAAGAAACTATTTGCTGTATTGCTGTAGGGTGAGAGATGTGCGCAAGGGACCACCTACTAGAGAGAGAGGGGGAGGGGGAGGGAGGGGGAGAGAGAGAGAGAGAGAGAGAGAGAGAGGAGTCCATTCACGTGGTGGTGGGGGAGGGGAGCGAGTGGACGAGTCCATTCTTGGATCCCTTGAGGGGGTGGCTCGTACACACCTGTCTAGGAGGGGGCGCTCCCATTTTCTGTTGATGTGGGAGACAAAAAAGGAAGATGGCAAAATGTGAAAATTAGATGCCCAGTTCTTAGGAGACACTCTACGGCAGGGCCAGCGCTTTAGTGAGCCTATCTGCGCGTGGACTTGCCCTGCCTATAGCGCCAGTGTTTTTGTGTGTGCGTGTAGGTGGCATAAAAATCTAAACTACATATCTTTACATTCGAGACACCACAGGACCTACGTGAAGGGTAGAAGAAGGTGCTGAAAAGAGAAAGGAAATTAGAGACGCCTGCCGGGCCCAGGTCCAATCTGGCTCCCCCCCCCAGATCACCTTGCAGATCTGTCGCCTCTGCTCCCCTCTCTAAACCCATGGGCTGACCAACAATTAAAGTTGGGTGTGTCTGGGCTCTGAAACTCACATCCACATCCAAGGCCACCTAGGGTCGCGCCCCTCCCGCCAGCCCCAAATTAATCTCAGACCTCAATGTCTTTTCAGATCTCCCTACTCTCAGGAACCAGGGAGGCCTCACTACCCCCTAAACGACCTGGTCATTTTTCTATAGCCCCACTCCCAGGCTGGATCATCCCATCTATTCATTCATTTTAGGTGGATTGTTACTGAAACAGAGATGAATCTTATTTATTGTGTTTATGTTCTGCCTCAATCCACTTTCCTGCAACGGGGCCTGGTACATAGTGGCTGCTCAACAAGTACTTGCCGAATGAATATTAAATGAATGGGTGAGATCCTGGCCTTGTGCCGGTGTTTTGGGGGGGAGACAGATCCAGACACAGAGACATGGGTCTGTGTGTCAAAGTTGTAATTGAGGGAAGTAAAGGGGACCTCTGGGGGAGGAGGAGAAGGACTCTGAGGGCTAGCGATTTCCTAGAAGTAGTATTTGATCTGGGTTTGAAAGATAATGAAGATTGGACAAGCAGTAAGAAAAGACACAGGTAATATAGCTTACTTATTAGGACATGGGAAATACCCTGGTATAACTTGATTTTCAGGTCTGAGGGGACACGTGCAGACAGAAAGTTGGAGATGTAGAGGGGCAGTTCCTGAAGCAAAGCTTAGTGAGAAACAAAGCTTCTAGGCATTCATTCATTCATTCATCAGGCACTGTTTCAAGTTAAGTGTATTGGCTCATTTCATCCTTCTGGCAAGTGTATGAAGGAGTACTATTACCATCCTCATAGATTAGGAAACTGAGGCTCTGAGCAGTTACAAACGTTTCCAAGGTCACACGACTCAAATGTGCCAGTTTGGGCATTTGTCCCACAATTTTTATTTATTTATTTTTTTGGCACATGGCTGTGGTACTAGGATCTGAACCCGTGACCTTGGTGTTATAAGGTCAATTTGGGCATTTGAACCTAGATAGTCTAGCTCCAGAGCCTAGCTCTGAATCATGATACTATACTTATTCTCTAGCAATGAAGTCTGTGACTACCTGGGGAATGGCTGGTCATGGCTGGGGGCTACAATGACCCTTCACCTCGCACCTCGCCTCATCTTGAACTCTAAAGTCCACCAATAGCTGTCTAAACCAATCAGCATTCAGGAAGGGGGCGGGCCTAGTGGACCTCATAGCCAATTGGTGGCCGGGAGATGCTAAGGACAAATGAGAGAGGCTCCTGAAAGTGAGGCTGGGAGGGGCGGGCTATAACAGGCACTCTGGGCCCCTGGCATGCAACCGTGGGCCTCGAGTCTCTCTCAGGGGCCCGGAAGCCAAAGGGCGTGGAGGAGGGCTTGCGCATGCGTGTGGTGTGCCTGGATCCCGGAAGAGGGCCAGACAGCTTCGAGAGCTGGGGTCACCACGAAAAAGAAGCCATTTCGCTCCACAACCACGTAGGGGTGAGAGGGGGGCGGGGTTCGTTGGGCCAAGAGAGGGTGAGGTGCCCCTCCCCCACCCGGCTCCCACCAACCGTACCCCACCTTCTTCACTCTGCCGCCTGCCCTACCTCAACTGCCCCACCCTGCTTCTTCTCCTACCCTAGGCCTCCCCTCAGGAGCAGACCGTTGTCCCTGCTAGCTCCTCTGTCTCCTTTTCTGTCCTCCCGAGGTTTTTTCAGGTTCACCAACTTCTCCTACTGCTCTCTCTCCTTCCTTTCTGTACCATCTCTCTCCAGTCCTCTACTCCTGGATTTCTCCCCTGTCCAAAATCCCTTTCTGGTCTCCCACATCCCTCCAATCTCAGGACTCCTTCCTCATCTTCCATCTTTTACTATTCCCCCATGTCCCTGTCTCCAATAACTTTTTTTCTATTCCCTGACGTCTCTTGCCATCAATGATGACTACCTTGACCTCATCTACCCCTATGACTACTTCCCTGACCAAGCCTTTTCTAATTGTTTTCTGACTACTTCCTTTGTCTCATCTCTCTCTAAGTAGTATTCTCATCTCACCTCAAACATTTCCTCTTCTCAGTACTCACTTTTCTACTCACCCTGACTTATCGGCAGGCTGATGACAACCCTATCTTATTCTTCCAGGACACCATGGACCCCCGGGGGCCGGCCCCACAGCCTTTCCAGCGGCGTGAGAAACCTGGTCGTGTCCGCCGTCGGAAGACTAGGCGGGAGCGGAATGAGGCCCTAGTGGGCAGCCGCTGCCCATTGGCCCATCAGGATCCTCCTGTGGCCAGTCGAGATCCATCTATGGCCCTCCGGGATCCTGTGGGCTCTACTGTCCCCAAGCTTGTGGTCATAACTCAGGGTCGGCTGAGCCGGGAGCACCGGGGTCTCTTCAACCACGAAGTGAAATCCCTGGATGTGGCACGTCTGCTTAGCAGTGGGTCCCTGGAGCCAGACACCCCTCCACTCTCCACCAGGCATTGCCCAAGCCCAGGCAGGGCCCAAGAACCAGCCCCACGGTCAAGGGGCAAGGAGAACCAGGTTCCTGGAGGCTCGGGCCCAGGCCCACCCAGATCTCAAGAGCTCCCTGACTTGGGGCAGCTGCTGGGGGAGCTGCAGTGCCAGCTGATTCTGCCACAGGCCTTCCCCAGGAGGAACCTTGTGCAAGAGGCCAGGGATGCCATCGTGGGCACCTTACAGACCTGCCATGGCTGTGTTCCCGACCTTGCCTTGGTGCTACGGGGCTGCCAGCCACCCTTGCCAGGTGAGCCCACCTCCTGCCCCTGCACTCCCCTTTCCCTTATCTGCTCAGGCTCAACGGTTCCCCATACTTCTTTCCTCTGTGCCAGGGACTAAGCCTGGGGGCCCTGAGGCGCAAAGGATGACACCCTCCTGGATCAACAGCTCTGAACAGGCCACAGGAGAGGGAAGGCAGAGAAGGCGACAGGGGACAAAGGAGTTCACCTTTGTCATGCCTCATACCTCCAGCACTCCCACTGCACACAGTGTGAGTCTGGCACCACCGAGAGGTCCCTGGCCACCTCCCTTACCCTCATTGCCTTTGCCATCTGGGGCGGCCTGCGTCCCCCCAACAGCCTTTGACCTGCTGAAAAGCATCTGGCTGGTAACCACACCGCCCCCTCCCCAGCCCTGGGGAGTCGGCCCAACTCAGCTCCTGCCTCAGCTGCCATCACCCTTGTTGCCCCACCCCTCTGCCCTGGACTGGAGCCCCAGCCCCCCTGCCCCACTGCCTAGTCTCTCCTGGGTGGTAGCCCAGAGCAGTCCAGAAGCCTGGTCCTTTCCACCCATGAGACTGTACTGAGGGGGCTGAGGCTAGGGCTGGGGATAGGTATCCCACATTCCCAGTCACCTTAATAAAGTAGCTTCTTCATAGTCCTCTTGATTTTCAGTGAGTGGCTGACCCAGGAGAGCAGCTTTCCTTAGCTCTGAGTTCTAGGTCCAAGATGGAGGGGAAGTTACTGTCACTTGTATCCTTCCTAGGGCATGAGGGGCTGGCAGGATAGGGAAACTTGGGGCTTCAGTCATTCCAAGGCTTACACCCACTGTGGTCAACTATGTGCCCATCTCTGAGCTCTGGCAATGCTGGGGTCCCAGAGTGAGTAAGACTGACTCCCCATCCAGTGGTGGGCACGCACAATCTCAGCTCCAGTGATTGCATCTGGGAGAGAGGTGCAGGGACTGGGGAAGTCCAAGGAAGGAGTGATGACTCTGCCCTGGTGATGAGGAAAATCTTCACAGAGGAGCTGACAGAGACCCTGTATTTTTCAAGATTGGTAGAAACTTGCTAGTTGAGAAGTATTTCAGGCAAAGGCAACAGCATGTACAAGCCCTGGAGGAAGGAAATAGGGGATGCAGGACCATTTCCATTCAGCCCATATCCCTAGGCCATACTGAGACCTAGAGTGAGTCACATCTGGGCCTCCCTTGAGGAACTCCGGGTCTGTTGGGCATAGAGAACAGTGTAAGTATAGGATCAGGACAGAAGTGGCAGATCAGGCTGAATTTGGCCCATACACTTTTTTCTTTGGCTCACAGTATATTTCAAATATTTGAATAAATTGCCTATTGTTAAAAATCAGGTGGTTAGCTCTTTTTTAAAAAAATTGCATTTCTGGCTTTTCTTAAAATAATAATAATAAAAAGGATCTGGCAGCAGACCTACAATCCCTCTTGACAACAACTGGCCAAGTAGCAGAGGACGCTCTTCATGGGGCCCACGGTCTGCATCGAAAGTGTTGTGCTCATTTATCTTTCCTACTTGGCTCCTTGGCTTAGAAAATTTTTAAAAAATGGTATCTTGAAGGGGCTGGCCAGTTAGCTCAGTTGGTTAGAGCATGGTGTTATAACACCAAGGTCAAGGATTGGATCCCGGTTCCAGCCAGCACACACAAACAAATACAAAATTTTTAAAAGTTGGTATTTTGAGCAGCAGCAAAATTTTTGCAGTGGAGGGGGAGGGACAAAGATAGAAATGTTGGTTGGAGTCTGATCAGGAAAATCAAGCTGAAGGGCTTAGAATCTACTTTGGAAAGCTTTCCCAGGGCTCCCTGTTGCCCGCTGGGAAACCATAGGGTCCTTACCAGCATAGAATGGTCTGGGCTGGGAGACTGGCCAAGGTCTTATGGTGGAGAAAGTGGAAATGCTGGGACTTGAACCCAGACAACTGTATCAGAGTCCATGCTCCTGTATACCTTGCACCATTGCCAGTTTCATACCCTGGTAAACAATGACAGGCCAGGGGTATGGTGGTTGTGGCTGAGGGCTCTACCACTTCTGTGTTGTAAGACCCAGAATAAGTGGCTTGCCCTCTCTTTTTGCCTCTGTGGGCACTTCACAGGGTGCATCGGATCTGGAACATGGCAACTCGGTGGTGGACACAGCTGAGGATGGCTGCCATGGGGGCGCAGATGGGCAACCAAAGAATAGTTTGGGGACAAAATTGGGGGGAAGTCAGGACAGAGCTCGGATCTAGCGGTTCTGGGCCGTCCCAGAGACGGCAGTCTGGAGGAGGCACGGCTTGGGGGAATGTGAGTTCAGTTTAGGACATGGGGAACCGGAGGTATCCGTGAGACTCCTGGCGGGGAGGACTGGGGCTGGGGCGGGGTGGCAGAGGATGTGAAAGCGGCTTCCCGTCCCACGCGGAGAGGATAGTGGCCAGGTTGGGTCATCCGGGAGGAGGGGGCGGGGAGCGCCGCGTCCGGCGGCCCCTTTAATCGGAGGCGCGCGCTGGCCGTCCCGCGCGCTCTCGCCTCCGTCGCGGGAGCCGGAGAGTAGCCGGGGCTGGAACGGACAGAATGGAGCCCCCGCGCGCGCCCGCGCTACATCGCCTGCTTCCGCCGCTGCTGCTCCTGCTGCTGCCACTGCCCCCCCGCGCCCGGGCCAAATACGTGCGGGGCAACCTAAGCTCCAAGGAGGTGAGCGCTCTGGGCCCTCCTCGGCCTCCCTCCCGGCCCCAGAGGGACCGGAGAGAGGGGAGGAGGGAAGAGGGTACCGCCCCGCCCCCTGCCGCCCCTCTCTAGAGGATCCTGGGAGCTGCGTGGGGCTGGGGGCGATGGGGGACTGGGCCAGGGTAGAGGCCATACTTGGGGGTTGCAGGAGGGACGTTTAGGTCAGAGCTGGAAGGGGAGGGGAGGTGGATTGGGAGAGTCGGAGTTAGGGGGGAGGGAGGGGCCGCCGAGGTGGTGCTGAAGGGACAGCACTCTTCACTCTGCAGAGAGCCCCGGGTTCACCACACTCCCGCTCAGAACCAGGAGGGGGCTGTTTGGAAGATTCCCCAGCACAGATGGTCTCTGGGACCACCGTGGGGGCGGGTGTATGAGTCGATAACTGGGGGAATGTTGGTCGGATGGTGTCTGGGACAGAAGGTGGCGGGGGTGGGCATCTGGCCCTCCAGGGTCTTTCTCAGGGCGCCTGGGATATGGAAGTGTTGAGGTGAGGAGAGGAAACTTGGGGGGCAACTAAGGGAGAAAATCAGGGCAGCAGGAATCTTGGACCCATGGTGAAGGGATCAGGGAACAATTTTGGAGGTGAGTAGGTTTCCTTATGGTACCTGGGAAACCAGGTACCTGAGGGTAGGGAAGAAAAGTTTCAGGTCTGTGGAGTCCAGGAGAGTTCTCCAAAGACTGAGAAGAGGGTCCAACTGAGCCCTTTTTCCAGGACTGGGTGTTCCTGACAAGATTTTGTTTCCTCTCTGATTACGGCCGACTGGACTTCCGTTTCCACTACCCTGAGGTGAGTCTCTCCCAGCCACTCTCCACACTGAGGCTGGATACTCCCTTGGCCTCCCAAGGCAAGGGCTACCCCAACTCCCAACACTCCCCCAGACCCCAAAATCTCTGTGTCTGCAGGCCAAGTGCTGTCAGAACATCCTCCTCTATTTCGATGACCCATCCCAGTGGCCAGCCGTGTACAAGGCAGGGGACAAGGTGAGGGCTATGAGGAGGACATGGGGAGAGGGGAGGTCATGGATGGCCAAGGAGTGATCCTGTTCCTGCCTTCCTCAGGACTGCCTGGCCAAAGAGTCAGTGATCAGGCCGGAGAACAACCAGGTCATCAACCTTACCACCCAATATGCCTGGTCAGGCTGTCAGGTGCGGGCCCAGCCTGGGTGAGTGGGCAGGTGCTGAAGGTCAAGGGCCTGGGGACATCTGGGACATGCTTCAGCCTTCCTCTTGCTTGTCCCCAGGTGGTGTCAGAGGAGGGAACCCGTTACCTGAGCTGCTCCAGTGGCCGTAGCTTCCGCTCTGTGCGTGAAAGGTGGTGGTACATCGCGCTCAGCAAGTGTGGGGTAAGGGACTGGGGTGGCCACCTGGGCCTCCTCTTCCTTGCCTTCTTGTAGACCCCCTACCTGCCCAGGGCCCCCCTTAGGCCTCCACACTCCCTGCAGGGAGATGGGCTGCAGCTGGACTATGAGATGGTCCTCACCAATGGCAAATCCTTCTGGACACGACACTTCTCGGCTGATCAGTTTGGTAAGCATATGGGGATCCAGAAGCCAGAATCTTTGCAAGAGCCAGATCTGGGTGCCTGCTGAGGTGCCACCTGAATGAACTGTTTCCTTCTTCTACCAAATTGGCAGGGATCCTCGAGACAGATATGACCTTCCTCCTTATCTTCATCCTTATCTTCTTCCTCTCTTGTTACTTTGGATGTGAGTACAGCACATGGTGGGGTGGAGGTAGGAGATACAGGGGCAGCGGGGTTGGGGAAATGAGCACTTTTCCTTTCTGTCTGTGAACAGACTTTACCTATCCCCCTTTCTAGATTTGCTGAAAGGTCGTCAGTTGCTCCACACAACTTATAAAATGTTCATGGCTGCAGCAGGAGTGGAAGGTAAGGTTTAGAGTGTCCCAACTTTTGAGTCCTGTGGGAGGAGGGACTTGGGACCCAGACACCTGGGACTAAGAGAGAAATGGATGGGAACCTGGACTCCTGGGTCCTGGAAAAGGAGGGACTGGGGGTCTGGACTCCTGGGTCAGAGGGAGGAGGGGCTGGGGGCCTGAACTCCTGGGTCTGAGGGAAAAGGGGGCTGGAGTCTGGACTCCTGGGTCTGAGAGAGGAAGGGCTGGGGTCCAGACACCAGAGTCTCCTAGCAGATCAGTGGCAATAGATGGTCCAGAGTCCTGATGGGAGTGGAGGAGGGTTCAGATCATCTGGATCATAGTGCTAGAGGACAGCTGGTTTCTGTCCTTTCCTATATCTGCCCATCCTCCCCTCAGTCCTGAGCCTCCTGTTTTTCTGCATCTATTGGGGTCAGTATGCCACCGATGGCATTGGCAACGAAAGTGTGAAGATCTTGGGTGAGCATGAAGTGGGGCTGGGGGAGGGTGGAGAGTGTCCTCTCTAAGCCCATCTCAGAGCCGCTCTCTCCTCCTTTCTCCCAGCCAAGCTGCTCTTCTCCTCCAGCTTCCTCATCTTCCTGCTGATGCTCATCCTTCTGGGAAAGGGATTCACGGTGACACGGTGCCCGGGCAGGGGGAGAGCTCGTGGTCATGGGGTGGCTGGGCTGGGGAGCAGGGCGGGGGGTGGGTCTGGGGGGTAGCCACCCCCTCCTCCCTGACGGCCCCCACCCCTGCTGTCTCCCCTCATGGGCTGTCGCCAGGGGCCGCATCAGCCACTCAGGCTCCGTGAAGTTGTCTGTCTACATGACCCTGTACACCCTTACCCATGTGGTGCTGCTCATCTATGAGGCTGAAGTGAGTCCCACCAGACCCTCCCTCACTCTCTGCTTCCCTTCAAAGCTTTTGGCACCACCTCTTCCCTCTTCCCTATCTGCTACCCCGTCCCCAAGTAGCACTCTTCCTGGCTCTCTCTTTTCCACCCTATGATTTTCCGCCTTCCCATCTGTTTAACTGATTCCTCCCCTCTTCACCATCTCCCAGTAGCACTCTTCCTCCTTGTCTCTCACTGTCTGTCACATTTATGATGCTCAATGTCATAACTAAGAGTTCAGGAGTCACACAAACCTGGATTCCATGCCCCTGTCGCACACTTCCTAGCTGGCTGACCTTGTGGATGATGGCCCCCGGAGCTGCTTCCTCTTTGGAAAATTAGGAGGATCTTACCTACCCCAGGGAGTTCCTCTAAGGCTTTCTTTTTTTTTTTTTTTTTTTTAAAAGATGACCAGTAAGGGGATCTTAACCCTCAACCTGGTGTTGTCAGCACCACGCTCAGCCAGTGAGCTAACCGGCCATCCCTATATGGGACCCGAACCCGTGGCCTTGGTGCTATCAGCACCGCACTCTACCGAGTGAGCCACAGGCCGGCCCCTCTAAGGCTTTCAATCACCTGTATAGCTTTGGCCAAAGGGCTTCCCTCAAACTGTTTCCTCCTGTGTGAAATGAGGTGATAATAAGAGCTACCTGGTTGATTTGATGCTCACACATTGTTTACATCTGGTAGCTGATGTATTTATTGTCTATCTTTTTCACACTCTCTGCCCCTATGTGCTTCGATCTCCATTCCTGGCTCTCATGCTGCTTCTGTCCTGAGTACCTCTACTCCCTGGGTGCCCAGGGGTGGGGTCTGGGGACCCTGATGGAGGGCACGAGGCCAGGCTATGATGAGTCCTCTCCC